TACTGGGCTATTTTCAAGCGGAACCTAAAGAAGACCAAAAAAACTGCTAAGGGCGAGCAGCAGTTCAAGGCAAACTGGCTTTCTGCGGCGAAGAAGGTGGACAAGGTGGCTGTACAAAATCTGATGGCAGGGGTCAAGCGTAAGGCCCGGCAATTCGGATTTGGAAAAGCGGAAGCCTAACTGAATATTTTTTCTGAATTTTATACTAATTGAACTTGAAAAAGAAATTTAATTTGATATTTTAAATAAACGATTTCACCGATTTACACGCGTTTTCCCTTGACCAAATTTTGACCGTATCACCCTTTAATAACACTATGAGGTAGAGGTATGATTCCTCTATCATTTGGTATAGTTTGTTTATAAGATCTAACTTTTATTCACGAGAAATCGGCGTTTGACCTGTTTGTTTACAAATACAATTACGCCCAAATCTCAAATCACTCCGGAAATGTGATATTATTCTAGATTTTCGGGGGTAAATAAAGTGCTATATTTATTTTACGTCGAAGTTCAAAGTCGTAGGAGCACTGCAGGAACTTTGATGGACGGGACAAAAGGTATGGAAAAGCGGGCATCGAGCGGCTACTTTCTACATTAAGCCACGCTGTGGCACCACCAACGAGCTGGGAACCGGCTTTGTAGTGCTGGGTAAGATGCGCCAACACGTGATTGGTTGGCAGCCGATCAACGCGAGGATGTGCAAGTTGAGGATTAAGGGCCGTTTCTTCAACTACAGCATCATCAACGTGCACTGGCCACACAAAGGGAGACCCGACTACGAGAAAAAAGCGTTCTATGCGCAGCTGGAGCAGGTGTACGACGGTTGTTCGCAACGGGACGTCAAAATCGTCATCGGTGACATGAACGCTCAGGTAGGACGGGAGGCAATGTATAGACTGGCAATCGGGCCAAATACCCTGCATGCCGTATCGAATGAAAACGGCCAACGATGCGTAAACTTTGCAGCCTCTCGGGGTATGGTAGTTCGAAGTACCTTTTTCCCTCGCAAGGATATCCACAAAGCCACCGGGAGATCACCTGACCAACACACAGAAAACCAAATCGATCACGTTCTAATCGACGGGAAATTCTTCTCCGACATTATCAACGTCCGCACGTACTGCGCATCGTCAGTAGTGTCGGTCGCATCGTGAGATGGAAAGGCAGCGCTCCCGGAGCAGGCTCCAGCATAGAAGAACAGTGATGAGGGTAGCAAGAGTGTACCGAATTCAAAAAGTTACGCTACTCTTCCCACCGATGTTGGGAATACTAGAGTCGGTGTATAATGAGTCACGCCAAGAGTGAAGCCAAGTCTACCTATTGAACTGTCAAACCGGCTACCTATCGTGCAAAGTAAACAAGCATTACGATGCTATAAAAGGTCCACGAAAGGTATTGCAATCAAACATAAAATATAATCGAACAAATGATTATAAACACGCAGTGAGCATTACATTTGTCATGCGATACGTTTTGTAATGGTCATTAGTGAGAATTTCTACTATTTTTCGTTAAGATAAATTGACAAAATCACTAATTTAATGATTTACTACAGCCGTTACTTTTTTTCCTCGCTAGAAGTCATTTGAAGTTGATGCAGAAGTCCTCTGTTGCCAAGTGAAAAGAAAGGGAATCTTTCGAAAACCGTGATGCGAGTTCAACTGTTTTTCTCTTGGCGTGACTCATTATACCCCGACTCTAGGGAATACCACCTCCGTCACGGTGAAGCGATCCAAGATCCTACCACCTAAGGGGCGACATCTCTCGGATCTTCAGTATAGCTACTACTCAAATCATATAATTAATTCTGCCGGCTTGAGTGCGGCAAAAGTGAAGCTACCTCCCCTGTTAGTGAAAAATGCCCATCTTAATGAACTCATCGCGGATCTAGCGACGGTAGGCGTAAAGCCGAATACAAGTTGGGCAGAGTCAGCAACAAGGTGGTGCCATAGAGGTAACTCTAAGACCACTGGGTCCCGAAGAAAATCATTATTATTTTTGGCTCACCCAGTACCAGAACAACGGTCCCAAGCAGTCCCAAGCTATTTCACTCACCCCTGCATGTTCTGCATGAATCCACACACCCCTGATGTTATCTGTCAAACTTTCATAGCGAATCAAAACAAACATAGTGTAGTAATAGAATTTCAACTAGAATAGGATACGTTAATCGTTTGCTTGGGACGAATAGGCTACTAAAGTGGTGAGCCAATTTAAAATCGTTAGTTTCGTATTGATTGTTGGTGGTGCTCCATACCAAACCGGAGTATGACTTGGTCGTCGCCCACCTGAGGACGTAAATAGTGGAATTCTTCACCCACGACATTCCCGGGGATAAACCGTTCAAGGTCGTCATCAGGGGCCTACTAAACATCGACCCATAGTTTATCAAAGCTGAAATCCGAGACCGGTACAAGCTGCCGTCTATCAGATGACAAGGAAGGACGAGAATGTGAAGGCGTATCCGGATTGCCTTTTCCTGGAGCACTTCCAGAAGGGAACGGTGACGCTCAACGCGTTAAAAGTCATCCGCTCCATCAATTCTATCATCGTCCGCTGGGAACCATATCGTGGCGGCAATCGCGATGTGACTCAGTGCTGTAACGATGGGTAACATAGCGTTATTGGTAACGCCTAGAGTTGGGATAACGAAGTAAGCTGGTCACACTGTAATAGCGAATGACAGCTGTTCGGGAAACGCGATATGATCGGGGTGTTGAGTTCGGCAGCAATGCTGAGTTTAGAGTAGGGGATCCAAGTATAGACGATTGTATGATACGGACGCTTTCACGGAGCTCTCGGGATTATTAGGGCCAGCGAGAGAAGGCACAAATTAGATTTTTCAAGTGCCAACGGTGTCTGAACTTTGGACACGGCCCCCGAAATTGCAACATTAAGCCACGCTGTGGCAATTGCGCTCAAAACCATGCCACCTCCGAACGTGCTGCGGATGAAGCTGTGGCGTCCAAAAGTGCCAACTGTGGTTGTGCTCACCAAGGATCCGACAAGCAGTGCCGTAAATGCGAGGATTTCAAGCGCATCCGAAAACAGGCGTCCACCAACAATCAATCAGGTCGAAGGAAGGATAAGGCCCCAGCTTTCAGGGCGGAGGACTTTCTACCCTTTCACGGACAATCGAATTCACGGGTGCGATCTGCTCCCCCTCAAGAAAAGTCTGGATCTTCTGCTGGACAAAGCTCTCCATCCCCCCTGGATTCTGGAGACAACCAACAATAAGAAATCGTCTGAAACGTAATAAAGTTCTGCACTCTGCCCCATATCCGCACTTCTATCATCGAGGCCATTCGTGTGTCACCAACTGGAAACGACCGGTTTATCGCTGTTTACTGCACACGCCAGTGTACCGCAAGCAACGGACTTGGAATCCAATTCAAGAACGACCTGACCGCCATCACCCGTACTAGATCCCGATTCATCATTGGGGGCAACCTGAATGCCCGCCATGAAGCTTGGCGGAACTACCAGCGGAACCGGAACGGATGTCTATTGTTCGACCACGCACAACATGGACTGTAAACTGTGCAGTTTCCGGACAAACCAACTTTTATCTCTCCGGTGGGAAATCCCTCCACCCTGGACTTTTTCCTGTCGAACATCGGGCTATCCAAACCGGAAGCACACAACGATCTCAGCTTCGACCACCAACCGGTGGTGACTGAAGTCGGTTCCTGCTAGAAGCTACCTGCGTAAGGACTACCACCATGTCAACTGGGTGCAGTACGGACGAATGGTGGACAGCAACATCGAATAAAATACACCGCTCGCCACAGTAGATGACATCGACCGGGCGTTGGAAGGACTCCAACAGGCCATATCCATGGCTGACGAGGCGTGTGTTCGTCAAGCTCCTGTGAGGGGTAAGTTTGTTGCTATTGATTCCCACACCCATTACTGATTCGGTTGAGAAATGTTCGAAGACGCCAGTTTCAGAGGACTGGAGATCTCGTCAAAAAACTGGAAATGGTCGATCTGAACAGGCATATTACTTCCAGAATGAACTCACTCCGAAATGAAAGTTTCGGGCGTTGTCCATAATCTGGACGACCGCTCTCCACCTTGTACACTGAACCAAAACATCCGCAATACTTCGAATGATTATTGCATTGCTCGAGCCCTTTAACAATATGCATTCGAATTTCGGATGAATTTCTTATGGTTGAATTCGTCGTCAGATGATGAACATCCATATGACTGTCATCCAAATACAGGATGATTTTCGTTTGAAAATTAGCTATAAAACATACGGCACTCAGAGGACAAACATTTAAGAATAGTGTGACATGCAAGTGCTTTTAATTAGATTTATAATTTGATTATGTACAATTCCATACTGAATAGCCATAATAAGCCATCACAGATACAAAAAAAAAATCGTGGTAGAGAAAACCTCCTCTACCGCGAATTAGCCAAACATTGGTTTTCATCCTTTACCTTTGTTCGTAAAAGCTCTGATAGCGATGCATATGCTTCCGTCTCGTTTGTCAGCTCAGATCAGCAAATGACGTTCGATAGAATTATTTAGATCATCGTTTTGAATGATTTGCGTTATGGGGCTGAACCAATACCATATGCATTTCCATTTAGTATGACAGTCATTCTACAGAGAGCATTACGCATTTCAACTGAAGGCCCTATCCCTTCTCATAACAAGTTTCATCCAGTATTCGAGAGGAAAATCATTTGATTTCAAAACAGCCGTCATCCGGTTGCAGCTATCATTCGAAAAAGCGATTTCGGTCTTTTGTTGATGATGTTTGTGTACAGTGTATGTGATCATACCTTCACCATCGCAACTTCGGGTAATCGGCGAAAGTACTTGCATTTTCTCAGGCACTTATGATCTAAATTCAATCACTTTTTCATACTCGAAATGTGCCACGACCAAATTGGCACAACGACGCCCTATACGCTCTCTGACCGAAGCGCAGTCTTGAGAGTGAGAAATATCTGTACGAAAATAAACTATATTTTTGGATTGATTTTACTGTATTTATTTCGTTTAAATTGAACCTTGACAGTTATGCATATAAAAAATAATAATTATAAGCGTGTTACTTGGTTTGGTTGTACTGCTATTCCTTAAACAAACTTTTTACAAATCTTTGCAGTACTCACACATGTTCCATTTTCGAGTTTCTAGCATCTAACTTACCTACAATACTTAAGCACTTAACATTTCACAACGAACTAAAAGTTATCCTGACTAGGGATGTCCGAAATCCATGCAAAATAATCTAAACAATAGACTGGTAATTTCTGCCCTAAAAGTCGCTGTGTTCGATTTCTACTTTTAAGGGTTGATTTTTTCAAACGTTTGCCTGCTATCACTTTTGTCGTTCATCCAAGCAGATCCAAACCATACACGCCCTAGTTGAGCAAGGTAATGGTCGATTTACCTTCTGGGTCATCGTCGTCGTCATCCTAAGCGATCGAAAGAAGGAGAACTGGTTGAATAATTTATAGCCCAACTACAGGAAGCGGCCCACTTACATCAAACCCAAAACAATTGGTCATATCTTTCTCAATGTTGTTCCCTTGAGATACGGTCGTGCTATTAAGCCCTCCGTACCGCGCTTTCTTCGCAGGGGGTGATCGAATTGTAGACATGAGGATGTCACTGGTCAAATCTGCAAAATAAAAACAATACGATTATATTGGAGCATCTTCTCCCGTGAGGAAGTTTGTAAATTAGGTACCTTCGTTCATAATAAACTCTTCATTAGTATCCGCTAGAGCATCCTTTTCTTCATCGGATTCCGCTACATCCTTGTTGACATTTTTTTTATTCTTACTCAATGGTTTTTGGTCTTCATCATCTTGCAGTTGGATGACTTCCAATACCACGTATTGACCATCTTCGCCCTCGACCGTCATTATTTCCTGATCTTCCGAGTCCTCGTCTGTGTCCTCTTCTTCGTCTTCTTCGTCAATCTCCTCCAAGGTAACGTTTACACGCTTTTGGCGACCCTCCTTGAGCGCAATCTGTTCTTCCCGTGCCGACGATTCCGGATCGTGCAGCGCCATGTGCCGAATTAGATTACCCTTGTGGCGGAATGCACGTGGACAACTGGGACATTTGTGTGTCTTGGTTTTTGGCGCCGGTTGAACATAATCCGGATTGTGGTAGAGATTGACATGTCGTCGGAGCAGTTGCTTCTGCCGGAAGGATTGCTCGCACATTTCACACTGGAAGGGTTTCTGATCCGTGTGCACCAGTATGTGCGACTCCAGATGGCGCGCCGAAATCGAAGCGTACGGACAGAGATCACATTTGTAGCACTTTTCGCCCTCGTGCGTTTTGGTGTGCATCTTGTAGGTGTAACGGTCCTGATAGGTCTTGTTGCACCGGCGACATTTGAGAGGCTTATCCACGGGAGTGTGCAGTTTCTGGACGTGGATTCGCAGATCCGTTTTGCGACCACAGGTGGTCGGACAAAGTTCGCAGTGGAACACCGGTTTGTCGCCGACTAGAAATATAATAAGTTGATACAAGCGGGCTAAAAAATGGAGCGGTTTATTTAAGAGATACATACCTTGATGGATCAACTTGTGAGCCTTCAACGAGTTGGATTGGGTAAATCGAGCATGGCAGACGTCACATTCGTAAGGTTTCTCCCCGGTGTGGATTCGCAGATGTCTCTTCAGTTTGAAGGTGTCGGGCGAGGCGTAGGTGCAGTGTGGACATTGATATGGACGTTCCCCGGTATGGCAGCGGATGTGGCGTTTCAGCTTGCTCAGTTCCACGCTTGCGTAATCACATTCTGGGCATTTGTGTGGCTTTTCGTGTGTGTGTCGATAGCGCACGTGACGCACCAGTTCACCGGAAGTGGTAAAGGAGCTTTCACAGTGCTTGCAGTGGTGTGGTTTCGTTCCAGTGTGGGTGTTCACGTGATTTTGCAGAGAAGCAAGGGTTTTGAAGCCACGTTCGCAAACGGAACACTTGTGGGGCCTATCTTCCGAGTGAGACTTCATGTGACGGGCCAACAAGAACCGTTTGTTGGTTGTGTAGTTGCAATAGTTGCACATGTGATTTATCCCACCCGTGGATTGTGTTTTAGCTCTATTTTGTTTGCTCCCGCTCGGTTTCATTTCCATTTCCGTCAACTCAATGTCCTCAAACTCATAAACATTTTCCTCTAGTTCGTCCTCATCGTCTTCTTCCTCGCCTTCATTTCGTTCCTTGTTTTCGTCACCTTGCATGATCAACACATAGCTGATGTCCTTGGACTCTTGTTTGGCAGGTTGATCTATGCTTATTTCTTCTGTGATTTCCTCTTCTTCATCTTCTTCTTCGATTTCCGCATCCGGAGGAGCCGTAGTCAGTACCGGCTCCGAATCCTTACTCGCCTGATAATAGTAGTTGCCACTCTGGTCCACAAAATAGCATCCTCCATCCTCTTCGTCCTCGTCTTCTTCTTCTTCGCCTTCCTGCAGCTCGGCATCGTTCTCACCTTCTCCAATTTCTTTGTTGAACGACTCCAGATAGGACTGGATTTCGGTCCCTTCCATCTTGATCATCACTTCCGCCGTTGGGGCCGTCATTGTGGCTAACCGTCAGGATTGGAGCGAACCAAAGCTGTAGAAAAGAGAAATGATACGTTGCATACATTAGTCCTCCTATTTCCTATTTCCTTTATTTAACGTCGGTCTTTGTTCCGCAATCTAGTGCCAATCACCGACGGACATCGATTGCCATCCATTGACGGCAATCGAATGTGCAGGAAGGCAGCTTCCACACCTGCGTAGGATATCGCACCCATTCAAACACGCATGGGCCGGGACCAACGGCTTTACTTCCCTTCCGAAGGAAGACGTGATCAGAGATGTTTTATGCCTCAGAAAAATCCCACCGGCCTCGGCTGGGATTGAACCATAGAGGTAACTCCAAGACCAGAAGGTCCCGAAGAAACGTGCTCAACTTTTTGGCTCAGCTCTGGTACTATCTTCGGTGCCAAGCTAATCGATGCACCCCTCGAAACATAGGAAAATCCACGAACCCTTCATTTATGGTGGTAAGCTCCAACCGGTATTATCCTCGGATTAAATCCCGATCAAGAATGTCCGGCTGGTTTGATGTCGACATCAGAGTTAATCAACATAATTCTGAGCAAACATTTTTCAGATCATACAAACAGGGACGGTATTAAAAGTTAATCCGAGTTGGAGCTTACCGCCATTAATCTGTCAAACTTTCATAGGGAATCAAAACAAACATAGGGTAGTACTGGAATTTATACTAGAATGGGGTACATTAATCGATTTGCTTAGGACCAATAGGCTAGTCAAGTAGTGAGCCAATCTAAAATCGTTAGTTTCGTATTAATTGTTGATTAAACCCAGACCCATTGAGGTGAGAAAGCAGTCACGCTTACCACTACACCACCGGTGCCGGCAACACATAAGTCATATATCGCTTGCGATCATTGTTCTTTTCGATAATTAGGTTTTGCACTGTCGGAGTTAACCTCAATCTGATGACAGTTCAGTGGTACCAACAATCAATACGAAACTAACGATTTTAAATTGGCTCACTACTTGACTACCCGCATAAACGCGAACCATAAATTGACCTTACGTAAAATGGTTAAAAATTGTTTATAATCCCTGCTAAACTTTAACTGAAATGGTTATGGAACTTTACATGAACGTTTAATGATAAAGTTTCAACCTTATGTATTATGGTTTTTTGGAACTGGACCTTACAAATAATGGGTTGTTAAGAACCATTACCATTTCAAATTCTTGTTTTCTCCATACATTTTCAGAAAGAGAACTATATAAGAACGTTTTTACTTATGATTTGAGAACATTAATGGCAATGGTTATGGTAGTCAGTAAGGTCCATTAATGGTTTTGTATTATCGCTCAACTTTACGTGGAATATATCGTGAATTGGTAATCAGTAAATTACAGGCAACCAATTTGCGATATATTCCACATAAAGTTGATAGATGTTACAAAACCATTCGTGGACCTTACTGACTACCATAACCATTACTATTAAAGTTCTCAAACCATAAGTTAAAAGGTTCTAATATAGTTTTCTTTCCGAAAATGTATGGAGAAAACAAGAATTTGGAACGGTAATGGTTCTTAACAACCCATTATTTGTAAGGTCCAGTTCCAAAAAACCATAATACATAAGGTTGAAACATTATCATTAAACGTTCATGTAAAGTTCCATAACCATTTCAGTTAAAGTTTAGCAGGGATTATAAACAATTTTTAACCATTTTACGTAAGGTCAATTTATGGTTCGCGTTTATGCGGGTAGCCTATTGGTACCAAGCAAATTGATTAATGCACCCCATTCTAGTCGAGATTCTAGTACTACACAATGTTTGTTTCGATTCGCTATAAAAGTTTGACAGATAAAATGGTTTTTCCTTTGTTTCGAGGGGTGAATTGATTAGCTTGGGACCGAAGAGAGTACCAGAGCTGAGCCAAAAAGTTGAGCACGTTTCTTTGGGACCTTCTGGTCCTCTATGGCTTTTACGGCGCACAATAGATACGTTTTTAGGTTTTTTGACAGTTAGCCCATGCATTATCTCAACCCGAAAACGTATCTATTGTGCGCCGGCCTTTAGAGTTACCTCTATGCTACACATATAAGCATACCCCATTCCAGTCGAAATTCTAGTACTACACTATGTTTGGTTTGATTCGCTATGAAAGTTTGACAGATAAAATGAGGGATTCGTGGATTTTCCTATTCTTCAAGGGGTGCATCGATTAGCTTGGGACCGAAGAGAGTACCAGAGCTGAGCCAAAAAGTTGAGCACGTTTCTTCGGGACCTTCTGGTCTATGGCTTTTATGTGTACACATAAAATTCATGTGTAACCAAACATACTATTCACAACAATCAATACGAAACTAACGATTTTAAATTGGCTCACTACTTGACTAGCCTATTGGTCCCAAGCAAATCGATTAACGTATCCCATTCTTGTCAAAATTCTAGTACTACACAATGTTTGTTTTGATTCGCTATGAAAGTTTGACAGATAAAATGAGGGGTTATTGGATATTCCTATGTTTCGAGGGGTGAATCGATAAGCTTGGGACCGAAGATAGTACCAGAGCTAAGCCAAAAAGTTGAGCTAGTTTCTTCGGGACCTTCAGGTCTTAGAGTTACCTCTATGCTATTCATTTGACTCATAAATTTCATGTGTACTTCTAAGTGGATTCTGTTTATGTGTGGACACATGAAAATCATATGCAATCTTACATGGAAATTCACATATAAAAATGAGTTGAGTTTTATGAATGTAGCAGTACCAACAATCAATACGAAACTAACGATTTTAAATTGGCTCACCACTTTAGTAGCCTATTGGTCCCAAGCAAACGATTAACGTACCCTATTCTAGTTGAAATTCTATTACTACACTATGTTTGTTTTGATTCGCTATGAAAGTTTGACAGATAACATCAGGGGTGTGTGGATTCATGCAGAACATGCAGGGGTGAGTGAAATAGCTTGGGACTGCTTGGGACCGTTGTTCTGGTACTGAGTGAGCCAAAAATAATAATGATTTTCTTCGGGACCCAGTGGTCTTAGAGTTACCTCTATGGCAGTACCACCAACAATCAATACGAAACTAACGATTTTAAATTGGCTCACCACTTTAGTAGCCTATTGGTCCCAAGCAAACGATTAACGTACCCTATTCTAGTTGAAATTCTATTACTACACTATGTTTGTTTTGATTCGCTATGAAAGTTTGACAGATAACATCAGGGGTGTGTGGATTCATGCAGAACATGCAGGGGTGAGTGAAATAGCTTGGGACTGCTTGGGACCGTTGTTCTGGTACTGAGTGAGCCAAAAATAATAATGATTTTCTTCGGGACCCAGTGGTCTTAGAGTTACCTCTATGGTACCACTCGCCAGTTACAGTGTACCCCCACCCCCTCTTGTTACGTAATATTTGAATGAACCCTAACACTAAGAGCGGTAATGTAGCTCATCATTGAAGAACCCCTCGATTGTTTACATTTTTTCGCCACTGAAGAACGTCAGTTCATAATTGCTGCTTCTTGTTAGTCTTTGTATTATTACAAAACACTCCATTTGAATCAGCTAGCACCCGATCGATCACTCTCCTTCTGAAACAAGCACCCTTTTCACAGCGCATCAGCCATATTGATTTTAGCCAACAAAATTCGAATCTTTCGAAATAGATAAGCTCATGGAACATTTTGCCGACCAAATGCAAAATATCTTGAAAGGGATTTGTTTTCTGTTTACAATTTTAATACTTTCGGATCACAGCAAGAGGGAGCCACCCGGTCCACCGGATAGATTTCTAGTTTTTCTCACCACGAGCGCTGTGATGCCATCTTGCAAAAATGAACATGGCGTCCCAGTCGCTTAACATCAGTCGCACTATCATTCTCTTCGAAACACGGTAAAAACTCTTAAAATTTTGACTTTTACAGCACAATTAAGCTAATCGATGAACGTTTTACAAAATAGATATAGAAAATTTCACATTTCAAGCAGTTACCTCATAAAAACCGTAGAAAATGTATTCACCTTAAAATGCAGCACCAATGGGAAAACTACTGCAACTTTTTTGGTACACACTCACTTTGCTTGCACTGTTTGTTCCTTGAGGGCGTTAGTAGCACGATGCGCGGTCCAGCACAAACTGCTGCTCGGCGGCCGAAATCGTAAGCTCACAGTCACAACACCACTGTATACATCATTTGAATGAAGCATTCCGGCGGTATAGGTTAGTACGGTTCGTAGCTATGATGAGTTATGAGTGCAAACGAGAGAGGAATACACGTACACATAGAGTCGGTTCAAATACGTATATCCGCATACGAAAGAGGGTGAAGAAGCATTTTTACTATGTATGTATGTAGAAATGGGCGATCGTGGTAATCTAGCTCTGAACGCTTGCTGATTTTCTTCTCTGAAGGTATATTCTGTTAGATGAAAAGTAACTCTAATAACAAAAATACCATATCCGAACGATTAAACCCAGATGATAGAACTTTACCACAAATGATACCCTGAACACGTTGTTAAGCAAAATAACCATACAAATTTTGTTAGTGAAGCTGGTAGATTCATATCCAGATCACATTATTTCTATATTTCAGTTCCAATCGCACATCACGCAAAGTTCAGTTAAATATCCCAGTGAGAGTGTTTGAGCTGATTGAAACCAGTTCCCTACCCTATATGTGGTTGACAGAGGGAGTCCCCCCCCTCGCATTGCTCATCCCTTGATTGCTTGATTGTCAGATCTAATCTGATATGGAATTTTGATATCCAAATACATTTTAACTATCCACTTCATTCGAGCAACGTGCCGTTTACTACTTTTCTTCGAGAGTTTGTGTTTCATAAAAAAAGTTGTGATTTGTTGGTCCAGATCTGTGAAATCCAAAATCGCTGGTATTAAGTCACGCCAAAACTGCTTGACATTGGGTCCATTGGGTCATGACCGAAATAGCAGATTCCAAATTACAAATCAGCCCAAGTATTAAAAAACCTAGGGCAAATGGCTCTAATGTTTGCCTATGCATCGCCCATCGCTAAAAATCTGCTGTTTATTAATTTTATCTAGATGACATTGGGACGATACGAATGGCTACTTTTGGTAGCTATTGAAAATTAAGTCGATTGCTGAATTTATGTATAGGCCAAAATTAGGGGCAATCAGACCGACATTACCTCCAATTCCCCTATCAGCAAATTTCGACTGTAATTATTTCACAGAAGCGCAGTGTAAGCGTGGTAAGCGTGATTGCCTTTCAACCCAAAAGGCCTGGGTTCAATTAGAGTTCAAAAACTATCCATTTATTTTCTACCGATCAGTGAACGCAAGAGCTAACTTGTTACGTTCCTTTTATTCTCCGTTATCCATGAGAATGAAAGAGATAGCAACGAATGGTAGCAAAAAAAGCTTGGCAGAACCTGAGGGAGAGTTGCGAAGAGAGAAAAAGGGAACGTCAAATGCAGCCAGACGGCTGCTGTCACGAACTATCATTTGGAGCCAAGCAATTTTATGCTGGGGAGGGACGTACTGTCAAATTAGCCTACTGATCATTCTTGTATGAAATTGGTTCCAAACGTTAACAAACCCTGTAGGTTTCTTATGGCTTGTTTACGTTTGGAACCAGTTATGCGAGGTAGGCGACGATTGCTCGTATTTGATAGACCTCCCCCCTTGTTTTTATGATGCTTTTCTTACAGTTGAACAAGAATGCACAAGGCGGCATTGAAATCTTGCGTAAAGTAATTTGTGACAAACTGTCGTTTCCAGCTATTTTATTCAATGGGACACCGTTTCTTTATAATTAATTCAAAATACACTGGAGTCGCTTTTTACGCGGTTTTTTTTAACACGGTTTTTTACGCGGATTCCGGAATTTACACGGTTTTTTTTACGCGGATTCCGGAATTTACGCGGTTTTTTTTTACGCGGATTTTGGTTTTTTTTACGCGGTTTTCAGAATTGACGCGGTATATCGCTTTTTACGCGGTTTTTTCTTACTCGGTCTTTTTTTACGCGGTTTTTTTTACGCAGATTTCGGAATTTACGCGGTTTTTTTTACGCGGATTCCGGAATTTACGCGGTTTTTTTTACGCGGGACGTATCACCCGCGTAAAAAGCGACTCCAGTGTACACACAAATCAATATTGAAAGATACCATTAGCCAAGGTTTTGTCAAAACATCTAGTGGCATAGTAAAATACCAAACAGAAAAGTACAGTTTCTCACTGCACACTGAACAATCTCAAACAATCACTTAACGCTCAAAGCAAAACACGCTTTTTTGCTACGCCTGTTTTGATTTGATTTCAACGGCACAAACTTTCATGACATGAAGAACAAGTATACAATGAATTCCGTGTTTGCTATCTGCTTCTCCCTCCGAGGGCAGAACTATCAAAATTTCGTAGGTGAGGAAAGGGACGGGGAGATTTAAGTTAGTTCATGTTCTGTGCACTGATCCATCCGATTTGCCTTAATCGATCATCTTTTGTCAGATCGACCAATATTATCTTATATTCCAACAACAAAAAATGCCAGCTGCTGTTGATGGATGGCGCAGCTGTCAGCCCTCTGCTGTCAGTCATGAGTGTCAGTCGTTGCTTGAAAATCCGCACGAACGAACTGATGTGGGCATATTTCTGAAGGGATTAACCCGATTGCCGTTATAACTGAAACGTTCCTTAAACCTGAACATAAGGTTAAGAAGGACGCAAATTATTTGATTTATAGAAATTATCGTCTTGATGGACCCTGTGGTGGCGTTGCCATCATTATTCATAGACGAATAAAACATAAAATTCTTTCTTCATTTGAAACCAAAGTTTTTGAAACTTTGGGAGTTTCTGTTGAAACAAAATTTGGACAACTTACGTTTATAGCTGCCTATTTGCCATTCCAATGCGTAGGCCAGCAAAAGAATTTTCTCAAGGGTGACCTCCAGAAATTTACCCGTCATAGGTTTAAATTCTTCATTATTGGTGATTTTAATGGAAGGTCTTTGAGCATTGTTCCATAAGCGGTGTTGCTTATGGAACAATGCTCAAAGCAATTCCAATGGTAATATTCTGTTTGATGATTGCTCTGCAGGTTATTACACTATTCAATATCCAAACAGCCCAACATGCTTTTCTTCTGCAAGAAATCCCTCCACTATTGATTTGGTCTTAGCTGATTCATGTCAACTTTGTAGCCAATTGGTTACCCATGCTGACTTCAGTTCTGATCACCTTCCAGTAACTTTTGAAATATCCCAAGAAATAATTTCTAATCCCAACAGCTCTACTTTCAATTACCATAGAGCTGATTGGGAGCAATATCGAACATTTATGGAATATAACTTCGATCCAAACATTTTTTTGCAAACCAAAGATGAAATTAATTATGCTCTTGAATCTCTGACTACTTCTATAGTTGAAGGAAGAGCTGCCTCAGTACCAAAATGCGAGTTTAAATTCGATTCAATTGCAATAGACGACGATCTTCAGCTCTTGATCCGTCTTAAAAATGTCCGTAGGAGACAATATCAAAGAACACGCGATCCTGCCATGAAAGTTATCTGGCGGGATTTGCAAAAACAAATTAAAATGCGATTCTCTGCCCTGAGGAACAAAACTTTTGAAAAAAGTAGAAGGGTCTGTGCCTAGGGGCACGAACGGAAGCTTGACGTAAGACCGCTAATGGACGGAATCAATGTGAAGAGCATTCAGTTCTTTTAATTGATCAATTATCTATTATCTCAAATCTTTCCGTTTTTTAATTGTAGGCGTACCAAATTTGTAGTAATCTTTTTCAAAGAGAAAGTTGATTAATAGAATCAATCAAAACCACTTGCACCCCTGCTTCCAAGTTTGGTTACAAGATTACAACTCTGGAGAGCATTTTGTGTGGTTGTTGGGGGCTTGTGGTTCTGAATATGGACAAACAAGCACAGATAAATTCTATTCCAACTTTTTACTGATGTAAGCTTGATGGCCCTGAAAAGGGCCGTTTTATTGAAGAGGACATCCATGGCCACTTACGCTTGGCGTGTTTAGTGTAGGTGACAGCATCACGGACCTCATTTTCCAGGAACACCTTCAGCACACCTCGTAGATCAGACCGGAGATACGTTTGACACCACCACGGCGAGCCAGACGACCGATGGCGGTTATCTCGAAGAACTTTGAGATGACGCTTGGCGCCTCCTTTGCCACGACCAGCCACGACCTACTGCTGCTATTGCTGACCACGCCGTCCGAAGCGAAAATGAGCTGATACCAGACAGCAGCGCTGCTTTATATTTTTTAGGTTAAAGCAGAATGATGTGGTATAAAAGCTACAAAGACTCCTCCCATTATGAGTAGTTTGCTATCAAGTAGCGACACTGGCTATTTTCTTTTTGTGTACACGGTGAATGAGAACGACCCAAATTTGAGTTTAGTTCACTCATAATCGCCAAAAGTGTAGGAACTCAGCGATGAGTAAATTTGTCTCATGATTTCGTGTGGAAAACCTAAAAAATCTGCCAGAAAATGAGGAAATTGACGAAAATTTTATTCAGTCTCGGAGTAGTGCCAATAGACTGAGTGAATCCCATCTTTACTTTTCTCAAATTCGGGAATTTTTCCCTGGAAAATCCTGGAAAAATCTGGGAAAACATGAGGCAAATTTACTCATCGCTGAGTTCCTGCACTTTATTTCTTATTTCTGAGATAACTAAACCCAAATTTGGGTCGTTCTCATTCGCCGTGATAGATATCGGCGTCTGTGGTTAGCGTGATTACCTCTCACCCCAGCAGTCGGCGCCACCGGCATGTTCTAAGGCATAACATCTCTGGGAGCTGCCTCCCTGGCGTCGGTAGCATTGGAGCTCAGTACGGAAAACAAATCTCGCGTCACTTTTCAATAGGTCCTATCTACATTGATCGATTCTCTTCATCGACACTCTCTTTCGTAAATAACTCGGCTTCACAAATCTGGATCAACAATAGAAAAGAGCCCATCAGCATTTGTAAACAAACCGTTTACTCACAAAGCGAAGGCCACCCACACAAACCAACATCATCATCGGAAAGGGGAAACTTCTACCTACAAGATGTTGGTGTTGGTTTGTGTGAGCGGCCTTCGATTTGTGAGGCTTTGGAACGGTTTGTTTACAAATGCTGATGGGCCCTATTCTATTGTTGATCCAGAAATGTTTCCTGACGTCTTCGTCGAATTAGATGCTAGATTCCCTAATAAAAAATAACCATAAACGAACGATAACCCAAATCATTGAACTATTCCCCAAATGGTTTAGATGATACCCAGAACACGTCGTTAAGCAAATTAACCATACAATTTTTATTAGGGTTGTTGCTTCTTCCATCGAAAATATCCGGCCGTGGCGATTCAAAGTTGATCAAGGTTGATCAAAATAATTTGTATCCCTGCTTCCAGTTTGATTACATGAGCATTTTGTGTGGTCGGTGGTTCTGAATATGGACAAACAGGCAGATGAATTCTATTCCTACTCTTTTCTGTAATAAGCTTGGTGGCCCTGTAAAGAGCTGTTTCCAATGTTGGTGATGATTTAACCTCCGAAACCAAACAGAGTGCGTCTCTGTCACTTCAAAAACGTAGATGACATCCATGGCCGCTTACGCTTGGCGTGTTTAGTACAGGTGACAGCATCACGGATCTCATTTTTCAGGAACACCTTCAGCACACCTCGTAAATCAAACCGGAGATACGTCAGACACCGCCACGGCGAGCCAGACGACGGATGGTGGTTATCTCGAAGAATTTGCGTTTGGTTCTGAACATGGCGATGAGTGTGTAAAGTATTACGCAACTCCATCCTCCCTATTCGCACGCGCCCGAGGATCGGAGGCGAATGCCACTTCGACTTGTTTCGTCTACTTACTACTCTCTGACGACTGTGCTGGGGAAGCAGCATATGCATGTAGGTAATTGGTGGATTTGTTAGTTAATTCGACGCTTTTGGACAATGCTGAACATTTACCAGTTTTTCAATAGTTTCTTGTTGAAAATCAACATTTGGAAGCATTTTTATCAATGCGTAGCCATATTTCTGATCGATTGGTGATAAAATTATTGAAATTGGACCAGGGGCAGCTGAGTTATTAACGTTCAAAATCTTTCTCAATTTGTTACATGTTCCATTTTTGGTTTTCACAAAGTGTAACCCCATATAGAAATCAAAGACGTAGTCCTACGTCAATAATGTTTCTAAATTAGACCCGAGTTCCAAACCCTTTTGGAAACTCACAAAAATTTTGAAAAAACCTCAAAAGCTAATTCCAGCGCTTAAAGAAGGTGGTAAAATTTTGATCACAAATTTGTAAAAAGCTCAGAAACTTGCTAAGCAATTCGAGAGTTCCCATAATTTCAGTTTGGGTCTTACTAGTTCTATTGAGAATCAGGTTGCTTGGGATTTTCTGAATATTTTCTCTCGGGAAAATATTTTTGATGATTCCTGGGGGACTGATTTGGACGAAGTAAGGTCTATAACTAAAAAGTTTCAAAATATGAAAGCTCCAGGTGATGATGGAATTTTCTATATCCTCATCAAAAAACTCCCAGAGAGTACCTTGTCTTTCTTGGTAAAATTATTTAACAGATGTTTCCATTTGGCATACTTTCCTGATAAATGGAAAAATGCAAAAGTTGTTCCAATTTTGAAGCCGGATAAAAATCCAGCTGAAGCTTCTAGCTACCGTTCAATAAGTAAACATTTTGAAAATATAATTTTAAATAGAATGATACTTCACATCAATACGAAATAACGGCGCCGGTGGTGTAGTGGTAAGCGTGATTACCTCTCACCCCAGCAGGCCTGGGTTCAATCCCAGTCGGCGCCGCCGGGATGTTCTGTGGCATAACATCTCTGATCACGCCTTCCTTCGGATGGGAAGTAAAGCCGTTGGTCCCCGGTTCATGAGTTGATGGGTCGATAGGTAGGGTCCAGGTGTGGGAGCTGCCTTCCTGGCACGTCGGTAGCATTGGTGCTCAGCACGGAAAACAAGATCGACGAAAAAAACAAACCGAAGGAAAAAAAAAAAAAAAATCAATACGAAATCAATTTTTGCAGATGAGCAGTTAGTTTGGATTTAGCCATGGGCATTCAACTACTCATCAACTCTTAAGAGTTACCAATTTGATTCGTTCAAACAAATCTGAAGGCTGCTCAACTGGAGTTGCTCTTCTAGACATAGAAAACCATTCAACAGTGTTTGGCATGAAGGTTTGATTGCTAAATTGAAAAAGTTTAATTTTCCACTTTACATTATGAAATTAGTTCAAAATTATTTAAGTGACAGAACTCTGCAGGTAAATTATCAAAATTCCAAATCTAATCTACTACCTGTTAGAGCAGGAGTTCCTCAGGGTAGCATTCTTGGGTCTATATTGTATAACCACCCCTATTCTGTATTTCGTTTCGAACGAAATTCTCATACAAAAAATATTTTTTTGTATGAGAATTTCGTTCGAAACGAAATACAGAATAGGGGTGAACATTTTCACTTCGGACCTCCCTGATCAGGGTTTCCACAAATCTTTGTTCTCCGATGACACAGGCATTTCCGCTAAAGGAAGAAGTCTTCGTGTTATTTGCAGCAAACTGCAGAAAAGTTTAGATATTTTCTCTTCTCATTTACAAAAATGAAAGGTTTCTCCCAACGCTTCCAAAACTCAACTTATAATATTTCCACATAAGCCTAGAGCTTCCTTTTTGAAACCTATAGGTCACTATGAACGGAGTTCCAATTTCCTGGTCAAACCAAGTGAAATATCTGTATGTTGGTATCCAAACTTTGCCTGACGAATAAACTTCTAATATTTAAACAAGTTTTTAGACCGGCCATGCTTTACGCTGTGCCAATATGGTCTAGTTGTTGCACTACCAGGAAAAAAGCACTTCAAAGGATTCAGAACAAAGTTCTGAAGATGATTTTGAAGTTGCCTCCCTGGTACAGTACTACCGAAGTACATAGAATTTCGAATGTTGAGACTTAAGAACAAATGTCCAACAAAATTATTAATAATTTCAGGCAAAAATCGTTGCAATCCTCAATTGCAACGATAAATTCCCTTTATACTTAGATAAGATTTAGTTTTAAGATTTCAATTGTTATACTGACATGCAGGTTTAAAAAACCTGTTTAAAATACTGAATTGCCAAGGCAGGAACAATGAAAAACACCTAGATATATATCATAACAATTAAGGCTGGTAAGTAACTGTAGTAACTGGAGCACCTAGGTTGAAATGAAATGTAATTTATTTGGAATTTGGAACAAATAAAGTTAAAAAAAAAGCTCAACGACCTGGCCGAACGCTCCTCTGCGGCGGGTCCCCGATCAACGTCAGCAAGACCAAATAGTTGAATGTCAGCACGGACAGAGGTGCACGGGTCAATTTTCTTTTTTAACGTGAAATCTTTACTATTAGGTATAAAGCCAGCAAGACGTGAAGTGCATCAGCAAAGAACAAAACAAAAACACTCAAAAGCGGCAAGAACTTCATCATCGAGGTGAATCCTGTGCATGGAGGATCTCGAATTTAAAACAAAACGAGTTCACTCACCATCAGTCCATCATTAGGAATTTTCTTTCCAATCATCAAGTTTACGTTAGTTAGATGCTAGGCATTTTAATATTTTTTTTTTATCAAATGATACATTCCGTAGACTCACTAAACGATAAGATTGCGCAACTAAAAATATCTTATGATGATAAATTAAAAGTCCTCAACGAATTTTGTACAAGAAACCTTATGTTTAACCGGGCCATACTAAACCATCCATAGCATGCAGAGTAGAACAGAATAAATACAATGTTAACGAAAAACAAACAGTAAGAAGGGTTACATGATGATATCAATGAATGACTAACTAGTAATCGAATTTCACACCAAAGATAGTAGTCCACCACAAAGGAAAATGAAGCTGAAAGAAAAGTTCCGTGGCGGACTTGAAAAATATCATGATCAAATTAAAACAAAAAAGTTCGATCGATGTGTTGCCCCGCACCCTAATGATTCAAACAATACTGCGCGGCAGAATTCTTAATTTCGGCCTTCAGAATGTACACGATCGCTATGGACAGTACTAGAAACAAACCGACCGTAATCCACTGTATCATTTGATTGTGTTTAAATTGCGCTTCTAATCGATGGTTCGAGTCGTTCAGCTGGGATACGACCTGCTGGAAGTGTAAGAGCTGTTTGTCAGCTCCGCCAACGGCATATCCGGCGCCAGCACCGAACGTATCACCGCCTGCACCAGCACCGTACAGTGGCATTCCGTTCCGCAAACTATTGTCGTCTAGGTTGACCGGCAGGGAACACTTGAGTCGGTGCTGCTCCACCGAGGCACTGTTTGGCGATGTGTTCTGCAATAAGGGAATATCGGTTATGAGGGGAACAAAAACAGACAGATGGTTAGACAATACCTTCCATAGCTCTGCCAGATCGTGGGAACTTGTGGACATGTCGCTTCCGAATGCCATGCACATCACTAGGAATTTCTCTCGGTTCAAGGTAATGACTTGCTGACCCTGCTGTAAGACTACATTGATGGTAACGCTAGCTCCCGGAGATAGAACTCCGGTGCTAGGTCGTACTCGAAACTTTTCCGGTGCGGTCGTTTTGATCTGTTTGTGAAAAGCAGAAAGTTTTGCATTTTAGATTTATCAGGTTAATAAAGCAATTTTGAAAATCATCTCTCCGTGGTTGAAACAAACTCTCAACAAGTACCTACCTACCTGTGGCAAAAGCGTTGATCGTCCATGCCCAACTAATAGTATAGTGGTGCATAGAGGAAAATGAAAGCCTCAACTATACCTCTAATCATCAACTGAATCAACGAACAAATTCAGTCAACTACCTCTCGTTAGTTTTAGTTAACGTACCTAACTACTATTACACTTTATTCAGCGAACAAAACTTACCTTATACGTAACCGGTTCCGTTTGGATGTTGATAATTTCGACATTCCCGACCAGTTCGTTTCCAGACTTAGTAAATGCAATATTATTCTGTGGAATTATTCGTAACATCTCTCCTGAAAAAAAAGGAAAACAAAATAGAATCAATTCAAAAATTACGGTTAATATTAGAAGGATGTAGGTATAAGTGGTAGATTCATACAACACTAAGTGCGCTGTACCCTATCTCAATCGTTCGGCAGTGATAGGAAACAATTGGCGATGTGATAAAAACAAACAGAGACATGTGTTGCAGTAGAGAGGGATGATGGGGTTGTGCATTTCAAGTTCGCGTGTTGCATTTACCACTTTACACAAACATACCCAACGTCGAATCATATGTGGTAGAGGTGCCGATCGACGGACGCGTTATTATGTGATTGCTATTCTGAATAGCTGGCCTTTGCCGGTATAATAAAAAAAAAACCTTCGATGCGATGGGCAGATTTGGACCAATAGCTATGTATTTCATCAGTGTGAATTCCATCCATCAGCTAGCTGTGGCATTAGGCATTTCTTTTTTGCTCATAAAATTTTGCATGACCGAATCGATTTTTTCTGGTTCTAGTTATAATTAACAGTGGCGGAATTACATATAAGAAAACCAAAGTGCAAAAAGGATAGAGAAGATTTTTGCAACTTATTGGGACGGTACTAATGGATATTTTTGGTCGCTATTGAAAATATAGTCGATTGCTGAATTTATGTATGGGCCCAAATTAGGGGCATTTGTACTCGAAAAAATGCACCATTTTTATCCGTGTGTAACTTTTTTATCCGTGGGTAAAAATTGATGAAAATCTAGGTATAACTAGTTTGGAGTAAATTGTTTACATGTGCAAAATTTCATAACAATCGGTTCAGTGGTTATTGATATGTCATCGAGCCGGCGCCGGTGGTGTAGTGGTAAGCGTGACTGCTTTCTAACACCCCAATGGGTTTGGGTTCAATCCCAGCCGAGGTCGGTAGGATTTTTCTGAGGCATAAAAATCTCTGGTCACGTCTTCCTTCGGAAGGGAAGTAAAGCCGTTGGTCCCGGTCCATGTGTGTTGTTGAATGGGTGCGATATCCTACGCAGGTGTGGAAGCTGCCTTCCTGCACATTCGATTGCCGTCAATGGATGGCAATCGATGTCCGTCGGCGATTAGCACTAGATTGCGGAACAGAGACCGACGTTAAATAAAGAAAAGAAGAAGAAGAAGAGATGTCATCGAAACAAGAAGAAAATCGCCGGAGAATTTTGCGCGCCGTCATGGAAAATCCGACTGCGACCATGAGATGGATCGGAAGACAACTGGGAATCACCCATACAACTGTGTCTCGAGCGGTAAAATCGTTTAAGGAGTCCCATACGACCGAGCGGCGGGCTGGAAGTGGAAGAAAATCGAAGACAGCTGACCCTGTGAAGGCCCGGAAGGTGTTGGATTATTTCGAGCGTAATCAGAACCTTTCGATTCGCGACGCTGCTCTGAAGGCAAAGTGTTCCGCATGGTTCGTTCAGCAATCAATGAAACGAGCTGGACTTCGTGTATTCAAGGTCCGGAAGGCACCGAACCGGCGTGATCAACAAAACACGGCGGCCAAATCCCACGCAAGGAAGCTGTATCGAGAGTGGTTAACGAAACCGATGTGTGTGGTTATGGATGACGAAACCTACATCAAGGCAGACGCAAAGCAGATACCGGAGCTGGAGTTCTACGTTGCCAAATCACGGTTTGATGTTCCGGAAGACATAAGAAGAAGAAAGTGGACAAATTCGCCAAAAAATACTTGCTCTGGCAGGCCATATGCCAGTGCGGTAAACTGAGTAAACCGTACATCACAATGGGTGCCATCAACAGCGAAATTTACCACACCGAGTGCTTCCAGAAGCGTCTGTTGCCCTTCCTGCGGTCCCACAGAGGCGAGACATTATTTTGGCCGGACCTGGCATCATGCCATTACGCGCGATCGACGTTGGATTGGTACAGAGACAATAACGTTGTTTTTGAACCAAAAACCGCCACCCCCCAAATTCACCAGAGATTCGTCCGGTGGAAAAATTTTGGGCCATAATGAAGGCCAAAGTTCGAAAACCGTCCAAGGTGTTTAAGAACGAGCTGGAGTTGAAGAAAAAATGGATGTAAGTGACCAAAAAGGTCGGCTCCACCATTGCACAAAATGTAATGAGGGGTCTTAAGGGAAAGGTGCGGGCTTTCAGCGATGGAAAGGAAATTGAATAAAGTAATTATGCCGAAACATAATTGTTGCAGACAACGAAAATGGATATGGCAACACTGCCAGTTGCCCTATCTTTATCGCAGGCCTCACCGACGGCATCAACATAGCTGCCACTCGTGTGAAGGAACAGAAAATGCAAAACAATAACATTATGTTGTCAAGCAAGTTAGAATGTTTTTAGATTGTTTTGTGTCGCGTGACTGTTTTTATTAGTGCCTTAATAAATTAGTATTTATAGTTACGTGCGCGTTTTATTTCCTGCCCCTGATGACGGGATAAGTGCCACCTTAGTGCGACGGTCTCGCGACATTAAAGTGGCGACGAGTTGTGAGCGATTTGTTGAGTTTTTTTTCGCGTGTGAAGTTCCCGAAGATAACCCAACATTTCGCCTCCCGCGCGTAAACGGAGGAAAAAAAGACATAGTGCTAGTGTAATGGAAAATAACGGACAAATTCCACGCGATGTCGACCAGCAGCAGCGGTTTCAGAATCAACAGCAGCAGCAGCAACAGCAGCAGTTGAATTTACAGCAGGGAGCCCCGGTCCATCAGCAACAGTCGGTTCCATTCGATCAAGTGAACGCGATCAAGTATAGCAACAGGCAATTTAAAAAGCGTGACTTTGAGTCCCCAAACCAGGCATTGAGCGATAGTGAATGCAAACCAGATTTACCGTGTTGGTTTTGTGGCGGACTACATTATGTTCGCAACTGCGGCTACAAGCAGCACAAGTGTTCCGAATGTGGTCAATTTGGACATCGAGAAGGCTATTGTAGTAGTGCGAACAAAGCACGCCAGCCTACGATGAGGAGAAGGAAGAAGCATTCGGTGGATAGCAAGGTGGTAATCGTCGACGTATGCAGCGTGCAGCAACGACGGAGGTTCGTGCCCGTAAGTATATGCGGGACGTCGATTCAGCTGCAACTCGATACCGCTTTGGACATCACGGTCATCAGCAAGCAAATTTGGGAGAAGATCGGAAGTCCGGAGCTGGTTCCATCGACGGTCAAGGCGAAGACCGCTTCTGGTAATACCTTGCTGCTTGAAGGCGAGTTCGTGTGCAACGTTACCATCGGTGAAACAACACGAAATGGTGTGATTCGAGTGACGGAGAAACCACTGCAGCTTCTCGGATCCGACTTCGTGGACAGCTTCGATCTCTGGTCAGTACCGATGGACAATTTTTGCTGCAATATTTCTGCCTCTCCAGCATCCTTGTCGACTCTCAAGTCAACCTTCCCGAAGGTGTTCAGTTGTAAGCTCGGGTTGTGCATCAAAACGACCGTTAAGTTCGAACCGGAGATCAAACGATTCCACGCCAGACTGGAATCCTTCACCGTAGTGGATGGGTGCATTCTGTTTGCCGAACGACTCGTCATTCCATCGAAACACCAAAAACGATGCTTGGACCAGCTTCACCGAGGCCATCCGGGTATGCAGCGGATGAAAGCGATTGCCAGGAGCTACGTGTACTGGCCGTCACTCGACGAAGACATCGTTGGTTGCGTCAAGGCCTGTGCGCAGTGTGCGTCCGTTGCGAAGTCTCCTCCTCATGCTACACCGATGCCGTGGCCGAAAACAGTCGGCCCATGGCAACGCGTTCACATCGATTACGCCGGACCAATCGATGGTGACTACTTCTTAATCGTCGTAGACTCTTACTCCAAATGGCCTGAGATTGTCAAAACGCGCAGCATTACATCGATATCCACAATTGCCATCTTGCGTGGACTCTTCGCTCGACTGGGGATGCCGGTTACACTGGTCTCGGACAGCGGAACACAATTCACCAGTGCAGAGTTTGGCAAATTATGTGTTACGAACGGCATCGAGCACCTCACGACAGCCCCGTTCCATCCACAATCAAACGGACAAGCAGAGCGTTTCGTGGATACATTCAAAAGGGCCGTCAAGAAGATCCGAGAGGGAAGAGGAACAATGGATGAAGCAATCGATACGTTTCTCCTCACGTACAGGAGCACGCCAAATCACTCTGTACCAGAAAACAAGACGCCGTCAGAGGCTATGTTCGGCCGTAAAATCCGAACCAGCCTTGAGTTGTTACGCCCGCCTCCCGCGCCCATGGCAGCTCCAGAAGAGCAGAAAGAACAAAAGCGACGATCGTTCAACCGCGACGATGCTGTCTACGCCAAGGTCTACACCAAAAAACATCTGGAAATGGGTACCTGGCATAGTTCTCGAGCGAATCGGTAACGTAATGTATAACGTGTGGACCGATGCTCGGATGCTGCGCTCTCACGTCAACCAGTTGCGTAGTCGAAATTCCACGAGTTCGAATGCCAAGTTACCAGTCAGACAAGCCGTGAGCTCACACAGTTCATTTCCGTTGAACGTCCTGATGTCTGCCTGGAGCCTACCTCAGTCACCGTCGTCGCTTGCACCGGACGAGCCCGTCCAATCATCATCATCGCAAGCCTCTAGCTCAGCATCAACTACGAATCCGATGACGCCTCAATCATTGCCGCCGTCACCGAGATGTAGTTCACCAGCGACCACGAGTACATCGATGTCGTCAATGTCTTCTACGACAGCAACATCAACTGAGTTCGAGTTAGCAGCCGAAACCGAACCGGTAGAAGTTCTACCTCGGCGCTCTTCCCGTCTTCCAAGGCAGCCTCGATGGTTTGACCCCTACCAGCTCTATTAAGAGGGGAGATGTTGCAGACAACGAAAATGGATTTGGAAACACTGCCAGTTGCCCTATCTTTATCGCAGGCCTCACCGACGGCATCAACATAGCTGCCACTCGTGTGAAGCAACAGAAAGAGCAAAACAATAACATTATGTTGTCAAGCAAGTTAGAATGTTTTTAGATTGCTTTGTGTCGCGTGACTGTTT